TCCTTCCAGGCTCACAGGCCCAGGGGTTTGCTCATGCTTTCGGACCCTCGCCATCAATACTGCCTGAAGAAGCCCCTGCCACGGGGACACGGGCTGTCCCCCCACAGCGTGAACACATCTGAGTGCTTTCTCGAGGGCCAACAGGAAGCGTGGGCTGGCGTGTCGGAAGCATGAGGGCAGGTGACCGTGGACACTGTGAAATGCCAAATCGCTGGCCCCTGAGCAGCACAGACTGCCATCATGGGAGGCATGGGGGTGGGGGGGGGGCACCTCTTCTGCCTGGAGGCACCTCAGACTGAGTGGGAACCTGGTTGGCATGTTCTGAAGGTCCTCACCGCTGTCATCAGCCTGCTGGCACTGCAGGGGGCACCGGGGGTGGGGGTGCCCCTGACCAAGCTCATGGCCCAAGCCTCAATAGCAGGCAGCTTCCTGCCCACCTAACACCACGACTCACTCACTGACCCAGTCACTCACTGTCCATTCACTCACTCCGCACCCACTCCATTCATTCATTCATTCACTCACTCCGCACCCACTCACTCACTCATTCACTTCGTCACTCACGTCCACTCACTCACTCCTCTCTCACCCACTCACTCACTCATTCACTCACTCTGCACCCACTCCATTCATTCATTCATTCACTCACTCCGCACCCACTCACTCACTCATTCACTTAGTCACTCACGTCCATTCACTCACTCCTCTCTCACCCACTCATTCACTCATTCACTTCGTCACTCACTCATTCACTCACTCCTCTCACCCACTCATTCACTTAGTCACTCACTCAGCACCCACTCCACTCATTCATTCACTCACTCACTCCGCATCCACTCACTCACTCACTCATTCACTCACTCACTGACCCGCTCACTTACTGTTCATTCACTCACTCCTCTCTCACCCACTCCACTCATTCATTCACTCACTCACTCATTCACTCCTTAATCACTTATTCACTCCCTCCCTCCCTCATTCACTTATTCATTCACCCACTCATTCATTCACTCACTCCACACCCACTCGCTCATTCATTCAGTCACTCACTCCGCACCCACT